AATAAAATGTGATTTGACTGCCTGGATTGGGACTGCCTGGATCTGTAGTGTGCTGGGTTGGGACTGCCTGGATCTGTAGTGTGCTGGGTTGGGACTGCCTGGATCTGTAGTGTGCTGGGTTGGGACTGCCTGGATCTGCAGTGTGCTGGGTTGGGACTGCCTGGATCTGCAGTGTGCTGGGTTGGGACTGCCTGGATCTGCAGTGTATGAGCTCTACTGTAGGTTACCCTGTGTTTGCATGTCCTCATCTCAGTCCTACGTAATGTTACATAATAGTGGTGTTGCATAAGATACTGTACTCTCCCCCTATGGTAGTGTTATTGGAACAGTATAAATGTAACGGTTACTACAGTAGTGGAACTGGTACAGTATGGATGTAACGGTTACTACAGTATTAATACAGTATGGATGTAACGGGTTACTACAGTGGTGTTATTAATACAGTATGGATGTAATGGGTTACCACAGTAGTGTTATTAATACGGTATGGATGTAACAGGTTACTACGGTAGTGTTATTAATACGGTATGGATGTAACGGTTACTACAGTAGTGTTATTAATACAGTATGGATGTAACGGTTACTACAGTAGTGTTATTAATACAGTATGGATGTAACAGGTTACTACGGTAGTGTTATTAATACGGTATGGATGTAATGGGTTACTACAGTAGTGTTATTAATACGGTATGGATGTAACGGTTACTACGGTAGTGATATTAATACAGTATGGATGTAACGGTTACTACGGTAGTGTTATTAATACGGTATGGATGTAACAGGTTACTACAGTAGTGTTATTAATACAGTATGGATGTAACGGTTACTACAGTAGTGTTATTAATACAGTATGGCTGTAACAGGTTACTACGGTAGTGTTATTAATACGGTATGGATGTAATGGGTTACTACAGTAGTGTTATTAATACAGTATGGCTGTAACGGTTACTACAGTATTAATACAGTATGGCTGTAACAGGTTACTACGGTAGTGTTATTAATACGGTATGGATGTAACGGTTACTACGGTAGTGTTATTAATACAGTATGGCTGTAACGGGTTACTACAGTAGTGTTATTAATACAGTAGCATGTACGGTTTACGGTAGGTTTTATCATGGAGTCAGGTTACACAGTAGGTTAGTCAAGCTGTAGATGGGGTCACTACAGTATGTTATTAATCTTGATACTTTACTGGGATTGATTTGAGCTTGCTGTTGATAGAAATAGTCACTAAAGTGTAACATTGGCACGTCCAGCAGGCTAAACTGAACCCTGTAAACTATTTAAATATTATGGAAATCTACTTGAAACAGTTGCTGTACAGACGTAAATATCGTACAGGTACTGCTTGTATCTGCATGTACGGGTCGGTACTGCCTGTATGTACCGGTCCGGGACTTTCCGTATGTAACAGGGTCGGTACTGGCCTGTATGTACAGGATCGGTCACTTGCCTGTATGTAACAGGGTCGGTTGGTACTGGGGGCCTGTATGTACACGGGTCGGTACTTGCCTGTATGTCAGGATCGGTTAAGCCTAGCCTGTATGTACAGGTGTCGGTACTGGCCTGTAATGTACAGGGTCGGGACTGCCTGTATGTAAGGGTCCGGGACTGCCTGTATGTACAGGGTCGGGACTGCCTGTATGTAAGGTCGGGACTGCCCTGTATGTACAGGGTCGGGACTGCCTGTATGTACAGGGTCGGGACTGCCTGTATGTACAGGGTCGGGACTGCCTGTATGTACAGGGTCGGGACTGCCTGTATGTACAGGGTCGGTACTGCCTGTATGTACAGGGTCGGGACTCGAGACCACCTTTACTCCACACACAGAGACGCGTACAAAGCTCTCCCTCACCCTCCATTTTTGGCAAATCTGAACATAATTCTAAACCTCCTGATTCCTGCTTACAAGCAAAAAAACTAAAGCAGGAAGCACCAGTGACTCGCTCAATACAGAAGTGGTCAGATGATGCAGATGCTGTTTTGCTAGCACAGACTGGAATATGTTCCGGGATTCTTCCGATGGCATCGAGGAGTACACCATATCAGTCACTGGCTTCATCAATAAGTGCATCGATGACGTCGTCCCCACAGTGACCGTACGTACATACCCCAACCAGAAGCCATGGATTACAGGCAACATGCTTATAAGAAATCCTGCTATGCCCTTCGACGAACCATCAAACAGGCAAAGCGTCAATACAGGACTAAGATTGAATCGTACTACATCGGCTCCGACGCTCGTCGGATGTGGCATGGCTTGCAAACTATTACAGACTACAAAGGGAAGCACAGCAGCGAGTTGCCCAGTCACACGAGCCTACCAGACGACCTAAATTACTTCTATGCTCGCTTCGAGGCAAGCAACACTGAAGCATGCATGAGAGGATCAGCTGTTCCGGACAACTGCGTGATCACACTCTCCATAGCCACAACAGTCCCTGTGCCCAAGAACACTAAGGTAACCTGCCTAAATGACTACCGACCCGTAGCACACACGTCTGTAGCCATGAAGTGCTTTGAAAGGCTGGTCATGGCTCACATCAACACCATTATCCCAGAAACCCTAGACCCACTCCAATTTGCATACTGCCCCAACAGATCCACAGATGATGCAATCTCTATTGCAGTCCACACTGCCCTTTCCCACCTGGACAAAAGGAACACCTACGTGAGAATGCGATTCATTGACTACAGCTCAGCGTTCAACACCATAGTGCCCTCAAAGCTCATCACTAAGCTAAGGACCGTGGGACTAAACACCTCCCTCTGCAACTGGATCCTGGACTTCCTGACGGGCCGCCGCCAGGTGGTAAGGGTAGGTAACAACACATTTACATTTACATTTACATTTTAGTCATTTAGCAGACACTCTTATCCAGAGCGACTTACAGTTAGTGCATACATTATTTTTTTATCGAACCCACAACCCTGGCGTTGCAAACGCCATGCTCTACCAACTGAGCTACATCCCCTGCCGGCCATTCCCTCCCCTACCCTGGACGACGCTGGGCCAATTGTGCGCACCGCCCCATGGGTTGAGGATCATCTGCCACGATGATCCTCAACACGGGGGCCCCTCAGGGGTGAGTGCTCAGTCCCCTCCTGTACTCCCTATTCACCCATGACTGCATGGCCAAGCACGACTCCAACACCATCATTAAGTTTGCCGACGACACTACAGTGGTAGGCCTGATCACCGACAACGATGAGACAGCCTATAGGGAGGAGGTCAGAGACCTGGCCATGTGGTGCCAGGATAACAACCTCTCCCTCAACGTGATCAAGCCAAAGGAGATGATTGTGGACTACATGAAAAGGAGGACCAAGCACGCCCCCATTCTCATTGACGGGGCTGTAGTGGAGCAGGTTGAGAGCTTCAAGTTCCTTCGTGTCCACATCACCAACAAACTATCATGGTCCAAACACACCAAGACAGTCGTGAAGAGGGCACGACAAAGCCTATTCCCCCTCAGGAGACTGAAAAGATTTGGCATGGGACTTCAGATCCTCAAAAGTTATACAGCTGCACCATCGAGCGCATCCTGACTGGTTGCATCACCGCCTGGTATGGCAACTGCCCGGCCTCCGACCGCAAGGCACTACAGAGGGTAGTGCGTACGGCCCAGTACATCACTGGGGCCAAGCTTCCTGCCATCCAGGACCTCTATACCAGGCGGTGTCAGAGGAAGGCCCTAAAAATTGTCAGACTCCAGCCACCCTAGTCATAGACTGTTCTCTCTGCTACGGCACGGCAAGCGGTACTGGAGCGTCAAGTCTAGGTCCAAAAGGCTTCTTAACAGATTCTACCCCCAACCCATAAGACTCCTGAACAGCTAATCAAATGGCTACCCGGACTATTTGCATTGTCCCCCCCACCCCCTCTTTTTACACTGCTGCTACTCTCTGTTTATTATCTATGCATAGTCACTTTACCTCTACCAACATGTACATATTACATCAATTACCTCGACTAACCTGTGCCCCCTCACATTGACTCTGTACCGGTACCCCCTGTATATTGCCTCGCTACTGTTTATTTTACTGCTGCTCTTTAATTATTTTTTTTTATATATATTTTATTTTTTACTTAACCAACAATGCAGTTAAGAAAAATAAGTGTTGAGGGCTTGTAAGTAAGCATTTCACTGTAAGGTCTACACCTGTTGTATTCGGCGCATGTGACAAATAAAATGTGATTTGACTGCCTGGATCTGCAGTGTGCTGGGTTGGGACTGCCTGGATCTGTAGTGTGCTGGGTTGGGACTGCCTGGATCTGTAGTGTGCTGGGTTGGGACTGCCTGGATCTGTAGTGTGCTGGGTTGGGACTGCCTGGATCTGCAGTGTGCTGGGTTGGGACTGCCTGGATCTGCAGTGTGCTGGGTTGGGACTGCCTGGATCTGCAGTGTATGAGCTCTACTGTAGGTTACCCTGTGTTTGCATGTCCTCATCTCAGTCCTACGTAATGTTACATAATAGTGGTGTTGCATAAGATACTGTACTCTCCCCCTATGGTAGTGTTATTGGAACAGTATAAATGTAATGGTTACTACAGTATTAATACAGTATGGATGTAATGGGTTACTACAGTAGTGTTATTAATACAGTATGGATGTAATGGGTTACTACAGTAGTGTTATTAATACAGTATGGATGTAATGGGTTACTACGGTAGTGTTATTAATACAGTATGGATGTAACATACTGTATATCTCCTCCCTCGCTCTGCGCATTCTCTCTCTATCTCTCCCCTCATTCTCTTTCTATTTTTCCCCTCATTCTCTTTCTATCTCCCTTCTTTCTTGTTGATTTTTCACAGGATTGTTCCGCGTCGAAGGACCATGCAAGCCAAGAGCTTTATATTAACTCCATAATTGCTAAAAGTGTGTCTCTCTCGCTCCAGGTTATTGGGCGATGGCCTCTAAAGTGTGTCTTGCTCTCTCGCTCCAGGTTATTGGGCCATGGCCTCTAAAGTCTGTCTCGCTCTCTCGCTCCAGGTTATTGGGCCATGGCCTCTAAGCCACATCCTCCTCTGATGAAGAAACACAGTCAGTCAGATCTGGTGAGCAGGCTGAAGACCAGGAAGATACTGGGGGTCGGAGGAGAGGACGACGATGGAGAGGTGCATAGGTCAAAGGTCAGTAGTACGCGCACACACTAGAACAGGAAGGTACTGTGGGTCGTAGGAGAGGACTAGGATGGAGAGGTGCATAGGTCAAAGGTCAGTATCATTTATTTCCCAAATATACAGAAAAGGTGTGCATTTGCTCATTCTTCATCATGGTGAATGAATCATTGGCTTTGTGCAAGCATTGACTGGATAAAGATTCTACCTTTGTTGAATCCATAATAAGTAGCGTGCATGTGGACAGAATGGAGATACTGCATTCATTGATGATTACCCATGCAACATGACAGCTCAATCAAACTGGCACGCTATTGTGAAGGTAATCATTCCTAATTAACTATTTGTTCATTAAGATAATCTATAGCGCTTTCACGTTTTAGGTAATATTGGTTTCTTGATTACTTGCTTATTGCAGCACAATGCACTGAATGATTGCATGCTCTCACTCTGTCTTTCATATTGCCTTGGCAATCAATCCATTGTCCCATCTCTGTATTTGTTCTATTCTGTTTACTGTCATCCCCTATCACAATCCATTGGCCCATCTGTCTTTGTTCTATTGTGTTTACTGTAATCCTCTATACAATCCAATGAATGTGGATCACTTAGAAAAGTACAGTAATATATATTTTCCTGCCTGCTGAGATGCTTCAGCTCAGTCCTCTGAGATCCTCTTTCTCTCCTCACTCTTCCCTTCCCCTCACGTTCCATCTCTCTCCTCACCTCACGTTCCATCTCTCTCCTCACTCTCTCCTCCCCTCACATTCTCTCTCTCTCCTCACTCTTCCCATCCCTCACGTTCCGTCTCTCTCCTCCTCTCACGTTCCCTCTCTCTCCTCACTCTTCCCATCCCTCACATTCCCTCTCTCCTCACTCTTCCCATCCCTCACGTTCCCTCTCTCTCCTCACTCTTCCCATCCCTCACGTTCCCTCTCTCTCCTCACTCTTCCCATCCCTCACGTTCCCTCCCTCTCCTCACTCTTCCCATCCCTCACATTCCCTCTCTCTCCTCACTCTTCCCATCCCTCACACATGATGCATGCACACATGCATTCTCACATGCCAGCCTACACACTTGAACACATGAACACACCCACTGATGTAACATATAAAAAGAAACAGAGGCTGTTTACACAGGCAGCCCAATTCTGAAAATTTGTATTTTGCACAATCTCTGAAAAAGATCTGATTTGAAAAGATCTGATGTGATTGGTCACCAGATTGAGCTGCCTGTGTAAACACCGACAGAGATGCCCTTATGGATACGTTTAAGCACACATTTGTTGGACTCATAAGAACAGGATGATGCTTTTTTTTTATTTCATCAAATAGCATTAGACACACACCACAGTCTGATCTCAGAGCTGAAATACTAATCACACACAAGGAGACCGAGCAGAGCAGGCTTTGTGTGTGTGTGTGTGTGTGTGTGTGTGTGTGTGTGTGGGGGGGGGGGGGGGGGGTAGGTAAAGGTTAGCCCCATCCACATCTTTCTCTCTCCCGCTCTCATCCCTCCCTGCCTCCTGAGTGTAAATGCTTTGGTAAGTAGGCAACTCCCCAGTGTTAAGGTTTTAGCAGGGATGGAGCTGAGGACATCTGCCACTGTGATCCGTCTGTCTTAAGTCTTTGACACAGAGGCTTAGTGAGAGAGACAGATATTAGAGATGCACAAAACGGTCACTCAGTTCTCCTGGAGATGCACAAAACAGTCACTCAGTTCTCCTGGAGATGCACAACACAGTCACTCAGTTCTCCTGGAGATGCACAACACAGTCACTCAGTTCTCCTGGAGATGCACAACACAGTCACTCAGTTCTCCTGGAGATGCACAACACAGTCACTCAGTTCTCCTGGAGATGCACAACACAGTCACTCAGTTCTCCTGGAGATGCACAACACAGTCACTCAGTTCTCCTGGAGATGCACAACACAGTCACTCAGTTCTCCTGGAGATGCACAACACAGTCACTCAGTTCTCCTGGAGATGCACAACACAGTCACTCAGTTCTCCTGGAGATGCACAACACAGTCACTCAGTTCTCCTGGAGATGCACAACACAGTCACTCAGTTCTCCTGGAGATGCACAACACAGTCACTCAGTTCTCCTGGAGATGCACAACAGTCACTCAGTTCTCCTGGAGATGCACAACACAGTCACTCAGTTCTCCTGGAGATGCACAACACAGTCACTCAGTTCTCCTGGAGATGCACAACACAGTCACTCAGTTCTCCTGGAGATGCACAACACAGTCACTCAGTTCTCCTGGAGATGCACAACACAGTCACTCAGTTCTCCTGGAGATGCACAACACAGTCACTCAGTTCTCCTGGAGATGCACAACACAGTCCCCTACCTGTCCCAGACCTGCTGTTTTCAACTCTTAATGATCGGCTATGAAAAGCCAACTGAGATTTATTCCTGATTATTATTTGACCATGCTTGTCACTTATGAACATTTTTGAACATCTTGGCATGGCTCTGTTATAATCTCCACCCGGCACAGCCAGAAGAGGACTGGCCACCCCTCATAGCCTGGTTCCTCTCTAGGTTTCTTCCTAGGTTTTGGCCTTTCTAGGGAGTTTTTCCTAGCCACCGTGCTTCTACACCTGCATTACTAGCTGTTTGGGGTTTTAGGCTGGGTTTCTGTACAGCACTTCGAGATATTAGCTGATGTACGAAGGGCTATATAAAATAAAATTGATTGATTGATTGAGTCACTCAGTTCTCCTGGAGATGCACAACACAGTCACTCAGTTCTCCTGGAGATGCACAACACAGTCACTCAGTTCTCCTGGAGATGCACAACACAGTCACTCAGTTCTCCTGGAGATGCACAACACAGTCACTCAGTTCTCCTGGAGATGCACAACACAGTCACTCAGTTCTCCTGGAGATGCACAACACGGTCACTCAGTTCTCCTGGAGATAGAGGGGAAACATATACATTCATAGTCACTCTCTCTCTCTCCACTATGACATACTGTAGAATAATGCAGATGTTCTTAACTAGCTGTTTAGTCTCTGTTCTTAACAATCAATGAAATGTATTTATAAAGCCCTCTTTTTTTTTACATCAGCAGATGTCACAAAGTGCTATACAGAAACCCAGCCTAACTGCTTGTACAGAAACCCAGCCTAAAACAAGTTGTTTAGTCCTCTGTTCTTAACTAGTTGTTTAGTCTCTAACCCAGGGGGCTTAGTGATGGAGGCACATATGGGAGTTGCACCTACAGCCACAGTCACTCACCCATACTATAGAGTAGTGGTCCTGGCTAAGTCTTCTGTCTGACTGTCGTCTTGTCTGTCGTCATGGATACAGAAATGGCCTTGGCTTTTCTGGGTCGGTGGTATTGACTGTCTGACTGTGACCGAGTGGAAATCATGCCCATGAACACGACATAAACTCACGACCCTCAGCACGTAACACAAAGTACTTGAGAAGCACCGTCAATACCACCCGACCCAGAAAAGCCAAGGCCGTTTCTGTATCCATGACGACAGTACTTGTAGGTCTCAGGAAGCGAAGCACTTAGCTATCCTCTACATAGACACAAGGGAGACATGTAGGCCTACTGCAGATACATGTAATGTACATCTTCTGGCCTTTATGTAGTGTCCCTGGTTGAGTCTCTGCATGTTTCACACAGGTCACTGTTTCCTTCTCCCTATTTTAAATAGTCACAGATTTGACAAAGAACTATTCCATCACTTTATTCACACCCCATCCTCAGTTTTCTCCTGTCACAGCCATTAAACTCCGTTAACTGTTTCAAAGTCACCATTGGCCCCGTGGTGAAATCCCTGAGCGGTTTCCTTCCTCTCCGGCAACTGAGTTAGGAACGGTGCCTGTATCTTTTGTAGTGACTGGGTGTATTGATACGCCATCCAAAGTGTAATTAATAACTTCACCATGCTCAAAGGGATGTTCAATGTCTGCTACCAATAGCTGCCCTTCTTTTGGGAGGCATTGGAAAACCTCCCTGGTCTTTTGTGGTTGAATCTGTGTTTGAAACTCACTGCTCAACTGAGGGACCTTACAATTATCTGTATGTGTGGGGTACAGAGATGAGGTAGTAAAAATCATGTTAAACACTATTATTGAACACAGAGTGAGTCCGTGCAACTTATGTGACGTGTTAAGCACATTTTTACTCCTGAACTTATTTTGGCTTGCCCTAACAAAGGGGTTGACTAAAGAAATGTATTTTCATTTGTAATTATTAATAAAAAAATTAAGAAAAAAATCCACTTTGACGTTATGGGGTAGGCCAGTGACAAAAAAAAATCTCAATTTAATCAATTTTTAATTCGGGCTGTAATACAACAAAATGTGGAAAAGGTCAAAGGGCGTGAATACTTTCTGAAGGTACTTACACATACAGTGGGTGAAACAGTATGTAAACATTATTAAAGTGACCAGTGTTCAATGACTGTGTACACTGCATCTGGAAAGTATTCAGACCCCTTGATTTTTTCCAAATTGTTGTTATGTTACAGCCTTATTCTAAAATAGATTACATTGTCGTCGTCCCCGCCCCCTCATTAATCTACACACAATACCTCATCATGACAAAGCAAAAACAGGTTTTTAGACATTTTTTGCAAATTTATTAAACATAAAAAACGGAAATCACCTTTACATACACTACCGTTCAAAAGCTTGGGGTCACTTAGAAATGTCCTTGTTTCCAAAAGAAAAGCAATTTTTTTGTCCATTAAAATAACAACAAATTGATCAGAAATACAGTGTAGACATTGTTAATGTTGTAAATGGCTATTGTAGCTGGAAACGGCTGATAATAAAAAAAATGGAATATCTACATAGGCGTACAGAGGCCCATTATCAGCAACAATCAGTCCTGTGTTCCAATGCCACGTTGTGTTTGCTAATCCAAGTTTTTAATTTTAAAAGGCTAATTGATCATTAGAAAACCCTTTTTGCAACTATGTTAGCACAGCTGAAAACTGTTGTGCTGATTTTAAAGAAGCAATAAAACTGGTCTTCTTGAGACTAGTTGTGTATCTGGAGCATCAGCAATTGTGGGTTCGATTACAGGCTGAAAATGGCAAGAAACAAATAACTTTCTTCTGAAACTCGTCAGTCTATTCTGGTTCTGAGAAATGAAGGCTATTCCATGCGAGAAATTGGCAAGAAACTGAAGATCTGTGTACTACTCCCTTAACAGAACAGCGCAAACTGGCTCTAACCAGCATAGTAAGAGGAGTGGGAGGCCCCGGTGCACAACTGAGCAAGAGGACAAATACATTAGTGTCTAGTTTGAGAAACAGGCGCCTCACGGGTCCTCAACTGGCAGCTTCATTAAATAGTACCCGCAAAACACCCGTCTCAACGTCAACAGTGAAGAGGCGACTCCGGGATGTTGACCTTCTAGGCAGAGATGCAAAGAAAAAGCCATATCTCAGACTGGCCAATAAAAATAAAAGATAAAAAAATAAAAGATTAAGACCCACAATTGCCGTATGGATGACGGATCACCACCTCAAGCTGAACCCTGGCAAGACGGAGCTGCTCTTCCTCCCGGGGAAGTACTGCCCGTTCCATGATCTCGCCATCACGGTTGACAACTCCCGCTGTGTCCTCCTCCCAGAGTGCGAAGAGCCTAGGCGTGACCCTGGACAACACCCTGTCGTTTCTCCGCCAACATCAAGGCGGTGACCCGCTCCTGCAGGTTCATGCTCGACAACATTCGGAGAGTACGACCCTGCCTTACACAGGAAGCGGCACAGGTCCTAATCCAGGCACTTGTCCATCTCCCGTCTGGACTACTGCAACTCGCTGTTGGCTGGCCTCCCTGCCTGTGCCATTAAACCCCTGACAACTCATCCAGAATGGCCGCAGCCCGTCTGGTGTTCAACCTTCCCAAGTTCTCTCACGTCACCCCCCCTCCTCCGCACACTCCACTGGCTTCCAGTTGAAGCTCGCATCCGCTACAAGACCATCGTGCTTGCCTATGGAGCAGTGAGGGGAACGGCACCTCTGTACCTTCGGGCTCTGATCAGTCCCTACACCCAACGAGGGCATTGCGTTCAATCCACCTCTGGCCTGCTGGCTCCCCTTCCTCTGGCGGAAGCATAGCTCGCCGCTCAGTCCATTCAAAACTGTTCGCTGCTCTGCACCCCAATGGTGGAACCAGCTCCCTCACGACGCCAGGACAAGCGGAGTCACTCACCACCTTCCGGAGACATTTGAAAAACCCCACCTCTTTAAGGAATACCTGGGATAGGATAAAGTATTCCTTCTAACCCCCCCCCCCCCCCCCAACATTGTAAAGTGGTTATCCCACTGGCTATAGGGTGAACGCAAACCAATTTGTGAGTCGCTCTGGCTAAGAGCGTCTGCTAAATGAACGTTAATGTGCCCTTGAGCAAGGCACTTAACCCTAATTGCTCCTGTAAGTCGCTCTGGAGTAGAGAGGTCTGCTAAATGACTAAAATGTAAAATGTAAATGTAAGATGGGCAAAAGAACACAGACACTGGATTTTTCGTTTGCAACTCTGCCTGTGTCAGCATCCCGGAGTCGCCTCTTCACTGTTGACGTTGAGACTGGTGTTTTGCGGGTACTATTTAATGAAGCTGCCAGTTGAGGACCTGTGAGGCATCTGTTTCTCAAACTAGACACTCTAATGTGTTTGTCAATTAGCCTTTTAAAATTATAAACTTGGATTAGCAAACACAACGTGCCATTGGATTACAGCCTCAAGTCTTCTTGGGTATGACGCTGCAAGCTTGGCACACCTGTATTTGGGGAGTTTCTCCCATTCTTCTCTGCAGATCCTCTCAAGCTCTGTCAGGTTGGATGGAGAGCGTTGCTGCACAGCTATTTTCAGGTCTATCCAGAGATGTTCGATCGGGTTCAAATCAAGGACATTCAGAGACTTGTCCCGAAGCCACTCCTGTGTTGTCTTGGCTGCGTGCTTAGGGTCGTTGTCCTGTTGGAAGGTGAACCTTCGCCCCAGTCTGATGTCCTGAGCGCTCTGGAGCAGGTTTTCATCAAGGATCTCTCTGTACTTTGCTCTATTCATCTTTCCCTCGATCCTGACTAGTCTCCCAGTCCCTGCCGCTGAAAAACATCCCACAGCATGATGCTGCCACCACCATGCTTCACCGTAGGGATGGTGCCAGCATAGCCTCAAGGTAAGGAGGGGCAGTTCCTCTTACTGCTCCGTAGGCAAGTACCATGGTCTTGTAATGAATGCGAGCTTCGACTAGAAGCCAGTGTAGTGTGCGGAGGAGCGGGCTGATTATCAGCTAATACAGTATAATAATGTCACTTATAAGAAATAATTAGTTCCTGAAGGCAATTTTCTGCTCATCTGCAGCGTTAATTTTCCAACTCCCCTGAGGAGAAAATTAAATGTTATTGGAATTACAAGTAATTGCTTTATCTATTGAATGGCAAACACAAAAATATGAAATGGTGTTGTTTTTGTTTCAGTTGAGTTGCCATAAGTACCTCATCAGACTCAGCTCAGACAACAATACCGCTGGGAGATCACAATCATATTAGAAAAAGAGAGCGGGAGGTTGGTGTGGAGGGAAGTTTCGTCTCAGGACATACGCACACCGACACACACCAACACATCCAAACGAACACACACACACACACTTCGTCCCTGTAAACAAAGGAAGGAAATCGTCCGGCTGTTACCCGCTGCCTTTCTGTTTTCCTGCCCTTCCGTGTTCTTTTAACAAACAATTACTTGTGTCAGGGATTGTCCTCAGGCCTTTAGCCACATCTAGCCTGCTGTAGCACTCTCACTGAAGCCTTTGGTGCTTGGAGGGAATACTGTGCAATGGTTCTAGCATGAAGACCGATACAGGAGGATGTAAGTGTAGGCTACTGACTTGATCAGAATGAACTGAACAATGATATGTCATTACAACTGGGGTTGTATTAGGATGGTCGTTATCAAGTTCATCTGTATGTTTGCCAAGGCTGGGAGATGAGGAGCCGTGAATGAGAGTAGTAATGGCACAGAGAGAGCTCAAGGGCTGTGGATGTCATATTTATTATTATTTAAACTCAATCTGTCTGAAAGCAGCCTGGCTTTGTCTCTGAGTGATTGATGCCAAAGCTAGACAATAACAGTTTGGATTACCGTATGCTCCTCTCTCCCCACATTACCGTATGCTCCCCCCCCCCCCCACACACTCTTCTCCCCCCCTCCCCCCTCTTCTTTCTCCTCCCTCCTCTTCTTTCTCCTCCCTCCTCTTCTTTCTCCCTCCTCCTCTTCTTTCTCCATCTCCTCTTCTTCCTCCCCCATCCTCCCCTCTCCCCCTCTTCTTTCTCCCCCCCTCCTCTTCTTTCTCCCCCATCCTCCCCTCCCCCCCACTCCTCTTTCTCCTCCTCTCCCCCTCTTCTTTCTCCCCCCTCCTCTTCTTTCTCCCCCCCCCCCCCACTCCTCTTTCTTCTCCTCCCCCTCCTCAGCTAAGTCCTATGCCAGCGATTTGAGTTTTTACTCTTGTTATATATTTCTCAAGCAAGTTATCAAGTCATCCTGTTAGATAACAACACAGGTAACACTGAGGCTCCTGTCAAGGTGAGGATTCTGGTGTGCAGCCAGGCCTACCTCCTGTCTTAAAGATATTCTCCGGTACTTTTCTATTATTTTTAGCCGGTAGGTCTGAAAGTAGTGCTCACAAGCCAAAAGTGGTCCCCGAAAATTGCGTACTACGTCACGCGTGTGCAGATATGTGCACCACGTCATTGCTCTCGCTCTGCTGTGTGTGCATCTTGCTAGCTATCACTCAAATGGCGAGGGGCTGACGCTCATTGGCTAAAACTTGAATTGCTAGGGGGCTGACCCATTTGGGGGAAAATGGAGGGGAAATGGCGCAGCACAGCTTCCAGAAAAGCAGTCGTTTTCAAACTATGGATTTCGTGGCTCATTGCGGTAAGACCGTAATTCTGCTCATAGATTATGCATGTATGAACTACACAGTGACGTATCCAGGGAGTGGGGAGGTTTAAAAAAAAAAATAGTCGCCAAAGTTCCAGAGCATGTCTTTTAAAAGTTTTACCAGCTCAGTCAGGTTAAGACCAGTGATTTTCCAAAAGTTGTCACAGACAGAGCCAGCCAGGCAGGGGAAAGGCTTCAGTTTCACTAGACAGTGAAATACAGTGGTCTGGGTTGGCTGGAGCGTGGAGACTAGGGCTGTCTGTACACACAGGCTCATACAGTGGTCTGGGTTGGCTGGAGCGTGGAGACTAGGGCTGTCTGTACACACAGGCTCTTTTATCTTTCCCTTTCCGCTGCAATTTAGACTCCTTATTTTTCCCATTTCCTCCCTCTATTATTTAGTGATTTGGACATCATCAACATCTCAAAATAGACGGCCATAAAGCTACTTAGGCCTTCTCTTCTCCATTAGATTGTGTGTGTGTGTGTGTGTGTGTGTGTGGTGTGTTTGTGCCTTGAGGTCTATTCTCATTGATGAGAATTTCGAGAGATTCTGGAGAGGTATCGATTCTCGAGAGACATTACTGTAATGTAAACTTGCGTAATTCTCACAACGCTACCTCCCGAGGTAGTGCGCGACACGTGCCCGACAGTTGCCCCCCCTCTAAGAAGGGCAGTGTAAACAGAATCGGTCTCTTTGAGCCCAACATTCATACCATAAAAATACTAATAGCAGAGCGATTTTGTTTTTTAAACAGCTGAAATGTATTGATAATTTAATTATATTTGAGACGACATGTTTTATTGAATTTTCACCTGAAATTGCGAGAAGGGTGTGATTGCGGACCGGTGTGATTGCGGACCGGTGTGATTGCGGACCGCAATTCAGGGCATTCCTTTAATCCCAGCCCCCCTCCCCACAGGAGGCCTTTTGCTTCTTGCCAGGCCGTCATTGTAAATAAGAGTTTGTTCTTAACTGCCTTGCATGGTTAAATAAAGGCAAAAATATATATTTTAACAAATAATGGGCATTTCTGCATCTGCAGGAACTCCTTTTCATACTTCTATTGGTCCATATTTAAGTTAGGACTCTGGTAAACAGGCGGGAGGTGGGGGCGACCAGTAGGTAATGGATGCCAACCGCCGATTAACCCCACAGAAGAAGAAGGGGCGGGGGCAACACCGCTAGCTAGCTAGGACATCGGTAGACCATGTCCTTTGCCCCTGCCTGCCGAGCACTGCTTTCCCACAGTTCTGTTAACGTTACCGCGAGGGCAGGTGCTCGGCAGGCACGGGCGAAGGACACTGTGTACTAGCTAGCTAGGACTCGGGTACACAGGTGGGAGGCTAGCTAGCTAGAACACCAGTAGACAGTCTTTTTCCGCCCCTGCCTGCCGAGCACTGCTTTCCTGCAGTTCTGTTAGCATTACTGCAAGGGCAGGTGATCGGCAGGCACGGGTGAAGGACACTGGGTAACTAGCTAGGATTCCGTTACATAGGCGGGAGGCGGGGGCAACACCAGTAGCTAGCTAGGACACCGGTAGACAGTGTCCTTCGCCCCCGCCTGCCGAGCACTGCTTTCCCGCAGTTCTGTTAACGTTACGGCGAGGGCGTCTTTATTTATTACATCCTCCCAGCTTTGATAAAGAGATGTGAGAGAGAGGTGGGGTGGTTGGTACAGTGGGGGGAAAAAAATATTTAGTCAGCCACCAATTGTGCAAGTTCTCCCACTTAAAAAGATGAGAGAGGCCTGTAATTTTCATCATAGGTACACGTCAACTATGACCGACAAAATGAGAAAACATTTTCCAGAAAATCACATTGTAGGATTTTTAATGAATTTATTTGCAAATTATGGTGGAAAATAAGTATTTGGTCAATAACAAAAGTTTCTCAATACTTTGTTATATACCCTTTGTTGGCAATGACACAGGTCAAACGTTTTCTGTAAGTCTTCACAAGGTTTTCACACACTGTTGCTGGTATTTTGGCCCATTCCTCCATGTAGATCTCCTCTAGAGCATTGATGTTTTGGGGCTGTTGCTGGGCAACACAGACTTTCAACTCCCTCCAAAGATTTTCTATGGGGTTGAGATCTGGAGACTGGCTAGGCCACTCCAGGACCTTGAAATGCTTCTTACGAAGCCACTCCTTCATTGCCCGGGCGGTGGGTTTGGGATCATTGTCATGCTGAAAGACCCAGCCACGTTTCATCTTCAATGCCCTTGCTGATGGAAGGAGGTTTTCACTCAAAATCTCACGATACATGGCCCCATTCATTCTTTCCTTTACACGGATCAGTCGTCCTGGTCCCTTTGCAGAAAAACAGCCCCAAAGCATGATGTTTCCACCCCCATGCTTCACAGTAGGTATGGTGTTCTTTGGATGCAACTCAGCATTCTTTGTCCTCCAAACACGACGAGTTGAGTTTTTACCAAAAAGTTATATTTTGGTTTCATCTGACCATATGACATTCTCCCAATCCTCTTCTGGATCATCCAAATGCACTCTAGCAAACTTCAGACGGGCCTGGACATGTACTGGCTTAAGCAGTGGGGACACGTCTGGCACTGCAGGATTTGAGTCCCTGGTGGCGTAGTGTGTTACTGATGGTAGGCTTTGTTACTTTGGTCCCAGCTCTCTGCAGGTCATTCACTAGGTCCCCCCGTGTGGTTCTGGGATTTTTGCTCACCGTTCTTGTGATCATTTTGACCCCACAGGGTGAGATCGCCCCAGATCGAGGGAGATTATCAGTGGTCTAGTATGTCTTCCATTTCCTAATAATTGCTCCGACAGTTGATTTCTTCAAACCAAGCTGCTTACCTATTGCAGATTGTCTTCCCAGCCTGGTGCAGGTCTACAATTTTGTTTCTGGTGTCCTTTGACAGCTCTTTGGTCTTGGCCATAGTGGAGTTTGGAGTGTGACTGTTTGAGGTTGTGGACAGGTGTCTTTTATACTGATAACAAGTTCAAACAGGTGCCATTAATACAGGTAACGAGTGGAGGACATAGGAGCCTCTTAAAGAAGTTACAGGTCTGTGAGAGCCAGAAATCTTGCTTGTTTGTAGGTGACCAAATACTTATTTTCCACCATAATTTGCAAATAAATTCATTAAAAATCCTACAATGTGATTTTCTGGATTTTCTTTTCTCAATTTGTCTGTCATAGTTGACGTGTACCTATGATGAAAATTACAGGCCTCTCATCTTTTTAAGTGGGAGAACTTGCACAATTGGTGGCTGACTAAATACTTTTTTTCCCCACTGTATATCTGTTATCTGCTATTCAACGCATTAACAGATTACACATACATTTTAAGCTAAAACATTGCACATTAATTATACTGCAATAATGACATAGCCTAAACGAAAAACTCAGATTTTATACTTTTATTTCCCTTTTGACCCACATTTTAATGGCATAGACAATCAGGGGAAATACAGAATATTAAGTGTCACTTAAACACAAGCCACATGCAGGACCCAATCTCAAACCAATGGATGCACATGTAGGAACGCCCCAAATTGCGGGGCGCAATCACAAACACTTGGAAATTGCAGTAACAGCCTGTTACATTCTGAAATTGTCATCGTAGCTTTAAGAAAGGGAAGCTCATGTTTGATATGCTGTGTTTTGCAAGCTACATTTAATGAGTGTACGAATGAGAAAATAAACCCTTTAATTGTTGCATTATTCAAGAGTGTAGCTAATATGTTTTGGAGGAAAAGTTGCTCGCGTTGTTTGAATAGTTTGCAAGCTTACTAGTCAGTGGTTACTGTGATACTGATATTTACGGTACATTTGGAGCTAAAGAGCAAGAATGTTGCCATGTTGCCAGCCACAACAAAAGCTAAGGCAAGGATGTAATGTAAATTGAAAAGTTTATATACATATTATGTAAATGAAATCTCGTCGCTCTGCCTCTTCTGCTTGTCAATGAGAATGATCTCTTAGGTTCTGCCTCCACTGGGGTTCTGATGGTGGGGAGTCTGGGTACCAAGTGCTCTGACGGGTTTCTCTGCTTGGAGCCATCTCCAGGCTCTATACAGGCCTTGGGCAACCATATTAAATGTTAATGTCATTATTTTATGCAGACAGTTAAAGGTCGCCATGTGTGCTGTGACCTTCTCCCATGATGCCCCCTGTCTAGATCCAGGTATTACATACATTAAGTGCCTAGGCGGATGCATCTCAGTTGTACTTTCCTTGATTCCTTGGCGTTGCACACGCCTCTCTCATTGCCGCCTTCTAGAAAATGAGTTGTAGGAGAATGTGTGATGGGAAGAACCTTGTACCATCTCCTCCTATGTGTTTTGAGAAGGCGAGGAGTGGATGCAAGGAATCAATGAAATGAAGGTTCACCCATAGAGTGGTAGGTAAGTGGATGGAGCAAAAGGCTGTTGATAAATTAGGTCTGTTATTTCAGACAAAAATCAATATGCCCAAAGGGGAACAGGACAGAAGCTGTGAGGTGATGTTACCCATTTGAACTTGAAGGGTTTGAGGTTGTCAGGACAATGAAAAATAAACTGAAGCTGCGAACTGCCCAGAACAGAACAGGGTTCACTGGTGATGGTCTCTGTCTGAGTCTCTAATACTCTCACTCGGCAATCAGAAATGTACAGTGCAACCCCAACAGTTAAATAAACATAAATAAACATACATACTGTACATCTGTCTGAGTCTCTAATTCTCTCTCTGTCTCTGTCTCTGTCTTTCTCTGTCTGTCTGTCTCTGTCTGTCTCTGCCTGTCTCTGTCTAGAATGCTCTCAATTCAAAGGGCTTTATTGTCATGGGAAACATAAGTTTACGTTGCCAAAGTAAGTTAAATGGATAAACAAAAGTGAAATAAACTAAAAGTGAACAGTAAATATTAGTTCCAAAAGAATAACAACATTTCAAATGTCATATTATGGCTATGTACAGTGTTATAACGATGTGCAAATAGTTAAAGTACAGAAGGGAAAATAAAGGAACATAATGGGTTGATCGCACAAACAGACCGTACACTCAGGCTAAACCCTGGTGAAATATGATCTACGCCGGTGGATAATAAACCTGGGATGAATCAATGTGGATGTTTTAGGTTGCAGAACGCAGAGAGCAATCGGACGTTGACTTTTTAACCAGACAGACCCATGGAACAGTAAAGGGTCAAAGAGCCTTTTTAGGCCTTAGATAGCACACTGGTATTTCACCCAATAGATATGGTAGTTTATCGAAATTGGATTTGTTTTGGAATCTGAAGGAAATGTGTGTCTCTAATATGGTCATACATTTGGCAGGTCTGCCTACGAAATGAAGGCAGGTCTGCCTCTCTCAACAGCAAGGCTATGCTCACTGAGGCTCTCTCTCTCTCTCACTGGATAAGCAGCAGTGGGCTGCAGAGAAGCTCTCGACCATAAAGGGCAATAGGTTCTATAATTGATTCAAGTATTTTTTTTAGCCAGATCCTAATTGGTATGTCGAATTTTATGATCCATTTGATGGTCTCGCTCTCTCGCTCTCTCTCTCTCCAGTTCATCATCTGTTTCTGACTATGAAGAATGTTTTTTTTTTTTTTTTACACTAACACAATGTGAAGTAAGATCTACTTTTAACATCAAATAAGCAAATTTTTTTGGTATACACTATCCATACATTAGCCTTCGATGAGGTGAGAGAGGGAGAGAGAGAGTTGACATTTTCTTATGGTTTAGGTTATGACGGGGTGACTGGGCCACAACACATCCACGGCTAATGTAAGGATAATAAAAACAGAGAATTTGCAGATCTGAGGTCAAAGAAGATATGACTTATGTTTCTAATCTAAAAAGGCTCTTTTGACCTTTTTTTACTGTTCCGTGGGTCTGTCTGGTTAAAAAAGTCAACGTCCGATTGCTCTCTGCATTCTGCAACCTAAACATCCACAACGATTCATCCCAGGATTATTATCCACCGGCGTAGATCATATTTCTCCAGGTTTAGCCTGAGTACCCGGTCTGTTTGTGCGATCATCCCAACTCCTTTTCACCTAGTAATTCCTTCTAGATCTGGAGTGTGAAGGACTGATAAGATCTAGGTGAATGGAATGGACTGCGGAGGACTTCAACTAATTCTGTACACACACACACACACACACACACACACACACACACACACACACACACACACACACTGTACACATACACACACACCTAATTATTTGGCTTTGTTTTCTATTGGTGTTGTGTTGCTCTCTGGTGCTTTCTGTAGGCCCGTTTGGTTTTTTGTTTTCTCACTCTTTCTCTCTCTCTCTCTCTCTCTCTCACTTTCTCTCCTTCAGTCATAAGCTGCAGGAGTTTCTCAAATAGACCAACACAAACAAACCCAGATGGAACTGAGGTCTGAACACACCTTCTGAACACACCTTCTGAACACACCTTCTCACCTTCAAACAATACATCCCAATGAGGCCATACCAAGTCTCTGTTCCAAATGGCACCCTATTCACTACATAGTGCACTACTTTTGACCAGATCCCTATAGGTAGTGGTCTAAAGTAGTGCACTATAAAGAGAATAGGGTTCTATTAGGGACAGACCCAAGATCAGGGGCCTTCATTCTACTGAAACACTACTTGCCTTGATAACTTGGTCACAACATTTTAAATTAGGTTTTGTCTTTTGGCTTGGCGCTAAACTATTAAACGGCCGTGCGGGACTCAAATAAAATAAAATAAAATAAAATAAAATAAAGCCGACTACAACTGGTGAAATGCTTGCTTACGATGCAGTTTAAAAATAAAATGGTAACACGAGGAATAAAATAAGATACACAAGAATGGAGCTATATACACTGAGTGTACAAAACATTAGGAACACCCCCCAAACCATAACGCTTTTGCTTTCAGAACAGCCTCAATTCGTCTGGGCATGGACTACAAGGTGTCGAAAGCGTTCCACAGCAATGCTGGCCCATGTTAACTCCAATCCTTCCCACATCTGTGTCAAGTTGGCTGGATGTCCTTTGGGTGTTGGGCCATTTATTGATACACACAGGGAAACTGTTGAGCGTGAAAAACCCAGCAGCGTTGCAGTTCTTCACACAAACCTTGCGCCTGGCACCTACTACCATACCCCGTTCAAAGGCACTTTAAATATTTTGTCTTGCCCATTCACCCTCTGAATGGCACACATACACAATCCATGTCTCAAGGCTTAAACATCCCTTCTTTAACCTGTCTCCTCTTCATCTACACTGATTCACATCAATACGGTATCATAGCTTTCACCAGGTCCGTCATGGGAGTACTAGTATCAGATAGATCAATGTGCAGTGGATTTCAGGTAGTTACTGTATGTACATGAAGGCAGCGTAAAGAAGGCAGGACTCAGTCTTTTAAGGTGTGTGTGTGTGTGTGTCTCTCTCCTGGCTGCAGGAGATTGAAATGGCCTTGAGGCGAGCTGGAGGAAATTCACTGACGGCTGCCTACAATGACTTCTATTCAGCCAGCATGGGAAACAATATAGTGTGGGGAGTTAAACTTCTAGGTCGCACCCTATGGTGTTATCCCGTAGCGACGCGGGGGTTATCCCGTAGCGACGCGGGGGTTATCCCGTAGCGACGCGGGGGTTATCCCGTAGCGACGCGGGGGTTATCCCGTAGCGACGCGGGGGTTATCCCGTAGCGACGCGGGGGTTATCCCGTAGCGACGCGGGGGTTATCCCGTGCACTAACAATGTAAAGCTCCATCCTGTCTGACATACAGGGCAGTGTACAGTATGAGTGGTGTGTGTGTTGTGTTGTGTGTGTGTGTGTGTGTGTGTGTGTGTGTGTGTGTGTGTGTGTGTGTGTGTGTGTGGTATGTATATGAGTGGTGTGTGTGTGTGTGTGTGGTTATGGTGGTGTGGGGTTATATATGAGTGGTGTGTGTGTGTGTGTGTGTATATGAGTGGTGTGTGTGTGTGTGTGTGTGTGTATATGAGGTGTGTGTGTGTGTATATGAGTGGTGTGTGTGTGTGTGTATATGAGTAGTGTGTATGGGTGCCATGATGAAGAGCTAATTGCTCATTTGTGCTAAATGAGATTTTCTGTTAAATATAGTTTGTGATTAATCCAAGACCTTGTTAATGGGGTATCTGCTTCCGTTTGTGTGTGGTGGTTTTTAATAAGTTGTCTGCTTCCTCTTAATCTCTGTCAGGTTCCTCCTTTACTAGCTCTAATTAGAAAACGTCATAATGATCCTCTCGTTCGTCTCTAATTCTCTCTCCTTCCTCACAGCTCAGTCAGATGCTGGGGAATGACATCAAGTATCAGGTGCGAGAGCCTGTTGGTCTAAGGTGAGAGAACACACCAGAGAATTGGTGATCTAATTTTACTGTTAGATGATCCATCTATTTTAATTGCAGTTGGGTAAATCAGTCTCTTATCTAATTTTCTCTCTGTCTCTCTCTCTCTCTCTTTACAGGGTCTGGATCCTCATCTCTGCAGTAGCCTTCACAGTCATGGCCTTGATGGTGAGTCTCTTGACGACCTGTGTTCGAGCCACGCTCAGACTTCTGCAATGATGATTCTTATGTATAGAGTCATATTGGCCATTTAGAACTTTTAGGAGCGGTTTAGAACTATAGGTGAGACTCAGAATTCATGGTTACATTACAGTTTTGAAAACATAGCAGGTCCAAAAAAATGTAAGGGTAAGTTATGCCGCCTACAAATGTCCTGTACTGAATGAAATATTACCAGTACCTTTTTAAAAACCATGTCTATCTTTATTTCCCAAACACAGTTCATCACAATCGCAATTTTTGACTTTTAATCATTTTAAGCATATTTTAACACAGGCTTAACGCCTAACAAACACTTTTGTACTTTTTTAAACACTTTTAACATAGGCCAGGCCCTGTTGATACTTCATATCCCAGAGATAATGACTTGAGTTACGCCTGGGAAGAAAACACTTACGTTTGCTCAACTTGACGTTGGCTCAACCATTGGCTCAACTTACCCCCAAGGCAAACATTTTGACTATATTAGCCCACACAGCTACAAGGATGTACTTTCATGCTAAGGTTTATGACCTCATATTGAATCTTATAGAAACCCCAACTGATGTATAGCACAATCTTTAAATGATCTACTTTGGCTTAGATACAACCATCATGAAACCGCTACCACAATAAATTATACTTTATTTAAAATGTTTTTTTTTTTATGGACCCAACTTGCTTACCACTTTTTCTATGTGGTTTCTTCCTATACAGACTATTTGGTCAAATTATTAATTTTGTGTATGGTTTCCCTAGAAACAAGGGTGGTTCAACTTACCCCTTTGGCTCAACTTACCCCACTCTCCCCTACTGTACCACCACAAAGACACAAACACTTTCACTAGGGTTAGTGAGAACTCTTTCTCTCTATAGTGAACAGAGTCCAATACAGTAGAGTCTGTCCTCACTACATTATCTCTATGGGACATCACTGCACTATCTCTATGGGACATCACTACACTATCTCTATGGGACATCACTGCACTATCTCTATGGGACATCACTGCACTATCTCTATGGGACATCACTACACTATCTCTATGGGACATCACTACACTATCTCTATGGGACATCACTACACTATCTCTATGGGACATCACTACACTATCTCTATGGGACATCACTACACTATCTCTATGGGACATCACTGCACTATCTCAGTGGGACATCACTGCACTATCTCAGTGGGACATCACTGCACTATCTCAGTGGGACATCACTGCACTATCTCAGTGGGACATCACTGCACTATCTCAGTGGGACATCACTGCACTATCTCAGTGGGACATCACTGCACTATCTCAGTGGGACATCACTGCACTATCTCAGTGGGACATCACTGCACTATCTCAGTGGGACATCACTGCACTATCTCAGTGGGACATCACTGCACTATCTCAGTGGGACATCACTGCACTATCTCAGTGGGACATCACTGCACTATCTCAGTGGGACATCACTGCACTATCTCAGTGGGACATCACTGCACTATCTCAGTGGGACATCACTGCACTATCTCAGTGGGACATCACTGCACTATCTCAGTGGGACATCACTGCACTATCTCAGTGGGACATCACTGCACTATCTCAGTGGGACATCACTGCACTATCTCAGTGGGACATCACTGCACTATCTCAGTGGGACATCACTGCACTATCTCAGTGGGACATCACTGCACTATCTCAGTGGGACATCACTGCACTATCTCAGTGGGACATCACTGCACTATCTCAGTGGGACATCACTGCACTATCTCAGTGGGACATCACTGCACTATCTCAGTGGGACATCACTGCACTATCTCAGTGGGACATCACTGCACTATCTCAGTGGGACATCACTGCACTATCTCAGTGGGACATCACTACACTATCTCTTTAAAAAGGTAGTAGTAATATTTCATTCAGAAGCACTGACTGTATTTAGAGAGGACCTGACTGTATTTAGAGAGGACCTGACTGTATTTAGAGAGGACCTGCCCCCCCCCCCCCCACTATAGTGCATGCTGTGTAGTATATAAGTGTTGTTGTCTCCTTCCTCTGCAGGCCCTGGTGTTTCCCAACCAGCTTTATGAGGTGGTGTTTGAAGAAGAGATCAACAACCCCAGCATCTCCATCAGGCTCTATGGAGGAGCGCTGCTCAGTGAGCACACACACACACACACACACACACACACACATACATACATACACATACACATTAATACACATTCACATACACATACACACATACACACACACATACATACATACTGTACGCACACACTGCTCCTTCCTTGGGATGTCATCTGCATATGGTACATATACACTGTAACACAAAGTCACACCCTCCCTCCCTCCCTCCCTCCCTTGTGATGTTCTCTATTCATGCCACTATATTAGTGTCATCTCTGTCCCTCCCACATGTCCCTGTATTTGGATGCTTCATGCATCATCTATCGAGGCCTTCAGGAGCATCTGTCAACAAATTCTCCCTTCTGACATCTCCCCGTTGCCCTCTGACCTCTGTCCTCCATGCCACAGAAATTGGATTGGAGATGATAATTGATTATTACAATGGCATTAATTTGAAACATGCCAGTCAGGTGTGGTGAGTCAGTCAGTCATTTAATGTTGGGTTGGCGGTGGTCCTGTTCAGTCCTGGGTTCAAATAGTATTTGTTTTCTTTCAAATACTTTAGCTGTGAATAATTGAGCTTGCCTGGCACCGTATAACTAATGGAATTGTCTCAAAAGTGAATCTAGGTCTGTTTCTCTTAAAAGGTTGAGGTGACTGTGACTACATAGACAGAAGGAGGGAGAGAGAGATCGCTAAGATTTACACAACAAGTCTACTGTGAGATGAACATAAATCTCACTGTTGGAACCTGGGAATACTAAGGTCATTATGGACAAATATTGAAGTTAACCTGGGAATACTAAGATCGTTATGGAGAGCTCTCTCTAGGAGGCCCACAACCCAATCTCCCATGGCAAAAAGTGTAGAATTGCAGTAAATTAGACACCCTGGAGGTCGGGACCCCAAATGCGGTAGTCCGTCCCTGGACCTGACTATCTAGATTATGGGTGATAACATTATGATTTGAGCCCAGAAATTAGGTTTTTGTAGATAGCTTATGTAGACACACAAGTATTAGGAAGAATGCCCAGTGAAGGAAGATGGGGTACATTTTTGTGGAGTTCCTACAGCTTTATTTACATTTGGAATAGGAATGTCTCCATACCATTGGCCCCTCTCCTGTGACCTCTTTGACCCCTAACCTCTGACCCCATGGTGTTTCCTCCCACTGTTCTGTCCCTCATCTTGTGGAATGGGCTGTACACACAAGAGAAGGTCATCATTCAATGGACTAAACTATAACCTATGACCTCTGACCCCTCCAGGTCTGTCCCTCATCTTGTGGAATGGAGTGTATACGCAAGAGAAGGTCATCATTCAATGGACTCTGCTCAGTGAAGCATGCTACTTTTCTGTCCAGTTTTTAGGTGAGATCACATCTTCCTTCATATTGGTATTTAATATATCAGTTCATGGTTATGCTGCACACCTATTACAGACGTGGCCAAAAATATTGCCACCCTTGCACTTTTTTTCAAATAATGCACAATATCTTCCATAAAACTGTTGAAATTCAAAAATATTTTGGTATCCACATATGTACAGTGAGGGAAAAAAGTATTTGATCCCCTGCTGATTTTGTACGTTTGCCCACTGACAAAGACATGATCAGTCTATAATTTTAATGGTAGGTTTATTTGAACAGTGAGAGACAGAATAACAACAACAAAAATCCAGAAAAACGCATGTAAAACATGTTATAAATTGATTTGCATTTTAATGAGGGAAATAAGTATTTGACCCCTCTGCAAAACATGACTTAGTACTTGGTGGCAAAACCCTTGTTGGCAATCACCGAAGTCAGACGTTTCTTGTAGTTGGCCACCAGGTTTGCACACATCTCAGGAGGGATTTTGTCCCACTCCTCTTTGCAGACCTTCTCCAAGTCATTAAGGTTTCGAGGCTGACGTTTGGCAACTTGAACCTTCAGCTCCCTCCACAGATTTTCTATGGGATTAAGGTCTGAGACTGGCTAGGCCACTCCAGGACCTTAATGTGCTTCTTCTTGAGCCACTCCTTTGTTGCCTTGGCCGTGTGTTTTGGGTCATTGTCATGCTGGAATACCCATCCACGACCCATTTTCAATGCCCTGGCTGAGGGAAGGAGGTTCTCACCCAAGATTTGACGGTACATGGCCCGTCCATCGTCCCTTTGATGCGGTGAAGTTGTCCTGTCCCCTTAGCAGAAAAACACCCCCAAAGCATAATGTTTCCACCTCCATGTTTGACGGTGGGGATGGTGTTCTTGGGGTCATAGGCAGCATTCCTCCTCCTCCAAACACGGTGAGTTGAGTTGATGCCAAAGAGCTCGATTTTGGTCTCATCTGACCACACTTTCACCCAATTCTCCTCTGAATCATTCAGATGTTCATTGGCAAACTTCAGACGGGCATGTATATGTGCTTTCTTGAGCAGGGGGACCTTGCGGGCGCTGCAGGATTTCAGTCCTTCACGGCGTAGTGTGTCACCAATTGTTTTCTTGGTGACTATGGTCCCAGCTGCCTTGAGATCATTGACAAGATCCTCCCGTGTAGTTCTGGGCTGATTCCTCACCGTTCTCATGATCATTGCAACTCCACGAGGTGAGATCTTGCATGGAGCCCCAGGCCGAGGGAGATTGACAGTTCTTTTGTGTTTCTTCCATTTGCGAATAATCGCACCAACTGTTGTCACCTTCTCACCAAGCTGCTTGGCGATGGTCTTGTAGCCCATTCCAGCCTTGTGTAGGTCTACAATCTTGTCCCTGACATCCTTGGAGAGCTCTTTGGTCTTGGCCATGGTGGAGAGTTTGGAATCTGATTGATTGATTGCTTCTGTGGACAGGTATCTTTTATACTGGTAACAAGCTGAGATTAGGAGCACTCCCTTTAAGAGTGTGCTCCTAATCTCAGCTCGTTACCTGTATAAAAGACACCTGGGGTCCAGAAATCTTTCTGATTGAGAGGGGGTCAAATACTTATTTCCCTCATTAAAATGCAAATCAATTTATAAAAATGTTGACATGCGTTCTTCTGGATTTTTTTGTTGTTATTCTGTCTCTCAGAATAATGTTTTTGTTGTTATTCTGTCTCTGAATAATTTAACTGAATCTTAGCTTATTCCACAAAGTAATCGTAAAATGGCCAGGACAATATTATTGGCACCTTCTAGAAGTAGTTAGAAATAATTTGATTTCAAGCAGGTGATTCTCCTTTTACTTTGGAATTGAACTCACCTGTGCTGAGTTGCAGGTGCCTGCAATATAAAAATCCCTCATTCAACCAGTTCGAATAGAGAAAAGGAGTCATTCTGCTGTTTTGTGTCACTGTGTGTCCCACAATGAGCATGGGGAAAAGAAAGAAAACCAGAGAATTATCTGAAGAGGTCAGACACAAGATTGTAGCCAAGTATGGACAATCTCAAGGCTACAAGTCCATCTTCAGAGACCTTGATCTTCCTGTTTCCACCGTACGTAATGTTATAAAGACGTTTAAGGCCCATGCCACTGTAGCCAACCACCCTGGACGTGGCCGCAAGAGAACTTGATGGAGCGGAGGATTGTTCGAAATGGTGGAGAAAGCACCTCGATCAACTGCCTCACAGATTCAAGCTAACCTTCAGACACAAGGTACGACAGTTTCAACTCACACCATCCGTCGCCAACTCAATGAAAGGGGGATAAATGGTAGGAGACCCAGGAGGACCCCACTGCTGAGAGAGAGAGACATGAGAGAGCCCGACTGCAATTTGACAAAACACACCTGAACATGCCAACATCCTTCTGAGAGAATGTCCTGTGGACAGATGAGACCAAATTGGTGCTTTTTGGTTAAGCACACTTATCTCTGTTTACAGAAAACAAAATGAAGCCTTCAAAGAAAACAACACCTTCCCCACATTCAAACATGGCAGCGGTTCAGTGATGTCTGCATGGCATCATGAAATCAGGAGAATACCAAGGCATTTTGGTGTGCAGTGTCAGACCGAGTGTCGGAAAGCTGGGTCTCCGTTGAAGGTCATGGGTCTTCCAGCAGGACAATGACCCCAAACACACTTCAAAAAGCACCCAGAAATGGTTCAAGACAAAATCCTGGACTGTTCTGAAGTGGCCAGCAATGAGTCCAGATCTAAATCCCATTAAAAACGTGGAGAGATCTGAAAACAGCAGTTGGGAGAAGGAACCCTTAAAATCTGGGAGAACTGGTGCGGTTTATACAAGAGGAGTGGGCCAAACTGCCAGTACAGAGGTGCAGGAAGCTCATCGATGGCTATAGGAAGCGCTTGATTGCAGTTATTTTGACCAAAGGATGTGCTACCAAATATTAAGTCTGGGGTGTCAATACTTTTATCAATGCCATTTCTGTTTATTTTCTGATTTAAATGGATATAGTAAGTTCTGAATTAAAAACAAAGGTTCTGTGATATTAAAAGTGAAAAAAAGAATTGTGGAGACCAAATACTTTGGTCAATTTCAACGTATTTTTAGGGAACATTGTGAGTTACTTGAAAAAACTGCAAGGGTGGCAATATTTTTGGCCACGACTGTATATATTATTATTCAATGAACCTTACTGCTGTATTTAAGGGCCCCGTGTAGCTCAGTTGGTAGAGCATGGCGCTTGCAACACCAGGGTTGTGGGTTCGATTCGCACGGGGAAAAAATAAATAAATGTATGCACTAATTGTAAGTCGCTCTGGATAAGAGCGTCTGCTAAATGACTAAAATGTAAATGTATTTCATGCTATCCAATCTGCCCACCATCTTGATTGTGGATGCGCTACCAGCTCCCTCTAGTGTTTGAGATGCAGTAGTACAGTTTGGAGTCTGGATCAGCTGCCAGTGTTGAAAAGTCTCATCACTCTTCATTGTTATTAAAGATGAGGGATTATATCTCCATGACTGAGTGTCGTCCATTATCAATCAATCAATCAATCATCAGTCAGTCAGTCAGTCTCTTTATGGGGGAGGGGGAGAGGGAGAGGGATTGAGAGAGGGATGAGAGAGAGAGAGAGAGAGAGAGAGAGAGCGAGAGATTGAGAGAGAGCGAGGGAGGCAGAGAGACAGGGTGGGACGACCCAATACATATGTTTTACTGTTGTCTCAACCCTGTCTTGTTCCAGTGACGTCGGTCACCCTGGTGGAGATGGGCTCGTTGCCCAACGCTGCCATCCTCCTCCTCCTCAGCCGGGTGCTCTTCCTCCTGGTCACTCTGTTCTACTACTATCACCTGGGGAGGGGACGACCCAAGAAGATCTGAGGGGAGGGGAGAGGAGGGGAGGGGACGACCCAAGAAGATCTGAGGGGAGGGGAGAGGAGGGGACGACCCAAGAAGATCTGAGAGGAGGGAGGGGAGGGGACGACCCAAGAAGATCTGAGAGGAGGGGAGGGGAGGGGACGACCCAAGAAGATCTGAGGGGAGGGAGGGGAGGGGACGACCCAAGAAAATCTGAGGGGAGGGAGGGGAGGGGACGACCCAAGAAGATCTGAGAGGGGAGGGGACGACCCAAGAAGATTTGAGAGGAGGGAGGGGAGGGGACGACCCAAGAAGATTTGAGAGGAGGGAGGGGAGGGGACAACCCAAGAAGATCTGAGAGGAGGGAGGGGAGGGGACAACCCAAGAAGATCTGAGAGGAGGGGAGAGGGGACGACCCAAGAAGATCTGAGAGGAGAGGAGGGGAGAGGAGGGGACGACCCAAGAAGATCTGAGGGGATGGAGGGGAGAAGACGACCCAAGAAGATCTGAGAGGAGGGAGGGGAGGGGATGACCCAAGAAGATCTGAGAGGAGGGAGGGGAGGGAGGGGAGGGGACGACCCAAGAAGATCTGAGAGGAGGGAGGGGAGGGGACGACCCAAGAAGATCTGAGGGGAGGGAGGGGAGAAGACGACCCAAGAAGATCTGAGAGGAGGGAGGGGAGGGGATGGAGGTCCACAGGGTGGGGCTGGGCTGAGTTAGGGTGTCTGAGGGAATCGGAGAGGGGAAGGGAGAGGACTCCCAAGAAGATCTGAGTGGAGGGCGGCCCACAGGGTCGGCCTGAGTTAACGTGTCTGGGGGAGAGGTGGGTGCTTCCAGATATGGACTTCCTGATGGAGATGGGGTTTATTGAGTGAAGCGAAATGTTCACAATGTTGCAGTTAGAAATGTAATGTGTAGAGCTGACATTCACAGTTCTACATGCCAGATCTATACATTACATTTATATCTGAACGTTGCACCTTTCTGATCAGGGTTGTGATGTGGGAGGGGTTTATCAGGGATGTGGTTGTGATGTGGGAGGGACCTACCAAGGATGTGGGCTGTGATGTGGGAGGGGCTTATCAGGGATGTGGGCTGTGATGTGGGAGGGGCTTATCAGGGATGTGGGCTGTGATGTGGGAGGGGCTTGGTGCATCCAGCCACATACTACTGTATATTAGACTCCAGATGTTTGTAATAACCCCAACAGTTAACACATGGTGGTCTGGTGGTTTCATCTGTTCTCTATGTGGACACGAGAAAAGGTCTGATTGTGAAAGTGAACTGAGAGATTGTTGTCCTCCTCCAAATACGCTAATTGTGTGTAGGGTGGTTTTGTGTAACAAGTGTGTAGTCATTTGAAGTAATGTTTTTTCTTGTGCGTTACCTCCCAGTCACGTGACTTTAGTGGGTACGTCCCAAGTAACACCCTGTTCCCTATACAGTGCACGACCTCTGACCAGAGCCGTATGGGCCCTGATCAAAAGTAGTGCACTGTATAGGAAATGGGTTGCTTTTTTTGGGGGATGGGTCAAAGATGTACAGAGTAACTTGAAACACTATGGTGTATTAGTATGTACAGTCATTTGAATTTGTTTGTTTTTTGTTGTTCAAAATCCAGTGTTGAGTGTGCTCTGATCTTTTTCGGTAGTTTTCATTTTGAATACACTGTATTCTCAAGGACCAAGAGTTTGCTACTTAGGGTTTTAAAGATTTTGCTGAATTTTTATGGTGTTGGTTGGTTGGGTATGTGTTTACTCCTCCTGTGCACTAAGGTGAAACCTGTATATCTGTTTCTGTCAGCTGTTCATTTAACCAGCAGAATGTCAGCTATAGGTATAAGACGCTCAGTTTTTTTTTTTAAGGCTGAGCGGTACAGTAAAATATCATCAGACTCATTCAAAAGGAATTACTAGAACAGACATTCCCTTTCAAGTTCGACGTTACTCTGTTTCTATGATCAGACCTGCTGCCTTTGTATCTAAAACTGAAAGTTGATCTGAAATGCTGGCTCATGGTGAAACCATTGTCGAGCAGACAGATTGGTATTAAGTGAGGATCCACTGGATCAGCATCTTTATTATTCTGCCTGTTCTTAATGCTGGGTCAGAACACTGAGGGAGGTCATAGGTCATCTTTTCATTCTGTCCAATGGGTATAGAGGACACATACATGATAGAGATGCCTCATCCCCTAACATGATATTGAGAGTGAGCTTACAATATGAAGCGCATCGGGAATAGACATTTTACAGGGACGATGACCTTTTAATTCATCAAGTTTCTGTCAAGAGGTTTGACTTGAAGGTCAATTCCACTCAGAAATGATATTTTGGCATTTGTTTCATTAGTCCACTGTTGATACAAGTTTTCAAGATATAGAACATTCAAAACCCTAATTGTCACTTGCCACACCAATATATTTATACTGTCAGCCTGCTGTATAATTACACTGAAATATTTAGTATTTATGGAAACATTTAACTTGGACAGTGTGTAGGCTAATCAAATGTTATTTGTCACATGCTTCGTAAATAACGGGTAGATTAAGTAAGCATTTCACTGTTAGTCTACACCTGTTGTTTACAAAGCATGTGACACACAACATTTTGATTTGACCTTACAGCCATCTGGTTACAGATCTCTGTTTTTGTGTGTTCATGGTTAGGCATAATGTCAACATCGTTATGTAGAGAAATTACATTTGCTTCATCTTTACTGTGCACGTTTAATGCCAGTGTTAGTCAGGAACATCTTAATTATGACGTAAACACACTTTTTGTACACATCTTGTATCTATATTTAGTCTTGCCTTAACTTTTCAAAGAACAGTTACCACCAACACACAATTCATGTCATGCTTGTACGTGTAAATAAAGGAGCCATGTATACTGTGTTATTGCCGTGTAGTTCTTTTGAATGTACCAGGGAACATGTAGTCCTCTGTAGCTCAATTGGTAGAGCATGGCGCTTGTAACGCCAGGGTAGTGGGTTCGATCCCCGGGACCACCCATATGCAAAAATGTATGCACACATGACTGTAAGTCGCTTTGGATAAAAGCGTCTGCTAAATGGCATATTATTATTATTATGTAGATTGTGTAGATCATTAGTTTGTTTTCCGAAGGTTAGTTAAAGTCCCGTTCTGTGATTTAAGGAGTTAAATTCATTTAAAATCATATAAACCGTTTAATGTTTTGTAACTTGTCTGGGGTCTAAGTCCTAGTATAATAAATATATACACTGCTAAAAAAATTAATAAAGGGAAACACTTAAACAACACAATGTAACTCCAAGTCAATCACACTTCTGTGAAAACAAACTGTCCACTTAGGAAGCAACACTGATTGACAATACATTTCACATGCTGTTGTGCAAATGGAATAGACAACAGGTGGAAATTATAGGCAATTAGCAAGACACCCCCAATAAAGAAGTGGTTCTGCAGGTGGTGACCACAGACCACTTCTCAGTTCCTATGCTTCCTGGCTGATGTTTTGGTCACTTTTGAATGCTGGCGGTGCTTTCACTCTAGTGGTAGCATGAGACGGAGTCTACAACCCACACAAGTGGCTCAGGTAGTGCAGCTCATCCAGGATGGCACATCAATGCGAGCTGTGGCAAGAAGGTTTGCTGTGTCTGTCAGCGTAGTGTCCAGAGCATGGAGGCGCTACCAGGAGACAGGCCAGTACATCAGGAGACGTGGAGGAGTTCGTAGGAGGGCAACAACCCAGCAGCAGGACCGCTACCTCAGCCTTTGTGCAAGGAGGAGCAGGAGGAGCACTGCCAGAGCCCTGCAAAATGACCTCCAGCAGGCCACAAATTTGCATGTGTCTGCTCAAACGGTCAGAAACAGACTCCATGAGGGTGGTATGAGGGCCCGACGTCCACAGGTGAGGGTTTTGCTTACAGCCCAACACCGTGCAGGACGTTTGGCATTTGCCAGAGAACACCAAGATTGGCAAATTCGCCACTGGCGCCCTGTGCTCTTCACAGATGAAAGCAGGTTCACACTGAGCACATGTGACAGACGTGACAGAGTCTGGAGACGCCGTGGAGAACGTTCTGCTGCCTGCAACATCCTCCAGCATGACCAGTTTACATTTACATTGACATTTTAGTCATTTAGCAGACGCTCTTATCCAGAGCGACTTACAGGAGCAATTAGGGTTAAGTGCCTTGCTCAAGGGCACATTTACGTCATTTAGCAGACGCTCTTATCCAGAGCGACTCACCAATTGGTGCGTTCACCCTATAGCCAGTGGGATAATCACTTTACAATTATAAAACAATTTTTTTGGGGGGGTAGAAGGATTACTTTATCCTATCCCAGGTATTCCTTAAAGAGGTGGGGTTTCAAATGTCTCCGGAAGGTGGTGAGTGACTCCGCTGTCCTGGCGTCGTGAGGGAGCTTGTTCCACCATTGGGGTGCCAGAGCAGCGAACAGTTTTGACTGGGCTGAGCGGGAACTATGCTTCCGCAGAGGAAGGGGAGCCAGCAGGCCAGAGGTGGATGAACGCAATGCCCTCGTTTGGGTGTAGGGACTGATCAGAGCCCGAAGGTACAGAGGTGCCGTTCCCCTCACTGCTCCATAGGCAAGCACCATGGTCTTGTAGCGGATGCGAGCTTCAACTGGAAGCCAGTGGAGTGTGCGGAGGAGGGGGGGTGACGTGAGAGAACTTGGGAAGGTTGAACACCAGACGGGCTGCGGCATTCTGGATGAGTTGTAGGGGTTTAATGGCACAGGCAGGGAGGCCAGCCAACAGCGAGTTGCAGTAGTCCAGACGGGAGATGACAAGTGCCTGGATTAGGACCTGTGCCGCTTCCTGTGTAAGGCAGGGTCGTACTCTCCGAATGTTGTAGAGCATGAACCTGCAGGAGCGGGTCACCGCCTTGATGTTGGCGGAGAACGACAGGGTGTTGTCCAGGGTCACGCCTAGGCTCTTCGCTCTCTGGGAGGAGGACACAGCGGAGTTGTCAACCGTGATGGCGAGATCATGGAACGGGCAGTCCTTCCCCGGG